ATTATTAGTTGTAGGATTAAAAAAATCACCAATGTTTTTGGGATAGAATGTGCATCGAAATCTAATTCGTATAACAAAAATTACAACCAAACAATAAAATGTGAGTCTCATAGATTAATAATCTCAATTTTATGCTATAATCCACTCAATCAAACAAGCTCTTATAGTATAATCACACTTAGTGAAATTTAAAAAACACCAAAGAATATGACATCATGAAATTAGTTTCATTTAGATGAAAATATAAACTCTTTCGGGTGAAAAATCAAATAATTGAGCGTATAGATCTTGGTAGAGTGGAACAAGGAAAAACACATTATGTAATTGACCCCACCAAATTGGAACAAAAGGTTCAATTTGGTTTGGTTTGATTTTGTTTGGTTTAGGTGAAGATTGAAAGTTCCTTGCCTTCTTTTGAGACATTGCACTTCCTCATATTTAGGTGGACCTAACACAGCCGAATCCCATGCTATGAATTCCATTTCAATTCAACAGACTTAACCCTAGATTTTCAAGACCCCTTTCTCAAAAAAAAAAAAGTTGGTGAAAAAATCCGGGCACGGCAGATTGTACTTTATAGTTACTTTGCAGATAATTTTTGGTAAAGATTTTCAATCCATAACATGTAAGAACCAAGTTTTAACCACGAAAAGCATAATAAGAAAATACCAACCAACCCAATACCTGTAATTTTTCAAATATGTATATATTATCTATCTAATTTTTTATAAAAATATGTATATTACATAAGTGGTAAATATGTTCTTAATGAAACTTAAGGTTTTGAATTCAAAACTTACTTGCACTGGTTATAATAAATTTTTGATTTTTCACTTTGTGGTAAGGGTCTTATTTTTCTTACCAACCAATTTTTAATATCAATTTTGTATTTTGAGAAGATAATAATATAGAGCCAAAATTTAAAAGTACCCATTACCCTAATTAAACACAATTTTGTGAGTTCGGTAATAATGCTCCGAGATTTTAGGAGAGAATAATGTTACCTGGGTCGTTTGTAGCTGAACCACGCCGGCGTATCTCTTGGCGGCCGGTCTTTTGAACTAGAAGAAGCGTCGGTGGATTTGATTGGGCGGCGTAGTATATCGATTGTGGAAAGGGGACAGGGGCTTCGAAGGGCCGTTGTGTTGATTGGCCATGAAGCAAGATGGATTGTGGCAAAAATGTGAGCGGCTTCAACGACACCAGACAACCTTCGTTTTTTGGGTTGCCTTCATGGGGTAGCCGTAGTGTAGTAGTGTGGGTTCGAGAGGAGGAAGGCAATGGGTCTTCGTTTCAAGTAGTGGTAACAGTAAGGAACCGGAGGGCACAAATTTTCATTCCGACATCAGAATTCAGAGGAGGGTGGGGGAGATGTGGCTCTGGTCATTGAAGGCTTTGGGTTAGGGGATGGATGGGTGCGGCGACCTAGTGGTATGCAAAGGAAGGTGTTGTCCACATCTGGGCCAGTGTCTTTGCCGGCTCATGGTGCGTCTGAAAGGGTTACAGTGGCCCATACGTCAGTGGAAGCAGAATGGTTTTGCTTGTTAGATCGCTCACTGGTGGGTCAATTTCGGGGTATGGATGGCAAAGGAATCAGCTTTGCGGATATTTCCGACTCGGTCATACGGTGGTGGAAGTTCTCGGCCAAGGTGGAGGTGCGACCATTGGGTAATTAGGCTTTCTTGTTTGTGTTACCTACGCGTAGTGAGGCGGAGATGTTATTAAGTCAGCGTTAGACCATTGGTGGTTGTGATCTGGAGTTGGTATGGTGGAATCCTCTGGCCCTTTGTGCTTTGGGCAAGACATCACCTTCGGAATAGCGGGTATGGGTCCAGGTGGTGGGTTTGCTGATCCATCTTCGTGGGTTGGAGGTTTATCGGCAAATTGGCGATCAGTTTGGCGGCTTTGTGGTGGTTGATGAGTCACCGGTGGATATGGGTTCTGTTCGGCTGTGTGTCAGGAGCTTTGTGCACATCCCACCGTGAGCTTCCATCGGATGGGACTCATGGAACTTTTCGTTGCTGATCTGGGTCGAGGCAAGGCCAATGGTGGAACCGGCAGTGACGGTAGCCGTTATGAGTGCCAATCTTCAAATAGATAAGGAAGGGCGTGATTCATGCCGTCCGAATCGAAGGATCTCAAAGATCTTGGGGGTAAAGGATTATATGCATCGATTTGAGAGGGAGGCCAAGTATAGGGGCTCACGGATTAGGCATCTGGTCCATACTGGGAATCGTTTGGGCTTCAAAAGAGATTTAAGGCCAACATCTTTGGGCCATGCTAAGGCCCACAGGGATAGGTTTAATCCCATGGGCACCCACAGGTGGGTCAAGAGCAAACAGTCCGCACCATTGGTTTTGGGCCACATGGATGATGTGGGTCACCAGAAGCGAGTTAAATCCCAAACCAACCAACCAACCCAACCAAGGAGGGTTGTTTCAGGCTAACCTGGGTAACCTAATCCGACAATCAGTCAGGTTTTTGCTTCACTCCGTGCTGGGGTTGGGCCTAGCCAGCCACTTTGCGAGGTGAGCTTGTCGATGGAGGCTACGCAACCTCCTGTGGGGGATATCGGTAGTGGGTCAGTGGAGTTACAGTCATCACAAGGTTTAATCGGTGATGGGTCTCAGTCGGGTGAGGCTGGGTTTGTGATGGAGGAGCACAGCCAGGTGGTTATCGGCTGTCGGGATAGGCGAGAGACAGTGGAGGTCGTGGCTGAGGCTCGCTGGGCAAGCTTGGTGGATGAGCTAGCTTTGGTGGTGCGTCCTGAGGTGGCGTGTGACGGAGAACAGGCGATGGATGCTGCAGCTGAGGCTGATGACCAACCAGAACTTTCAAGGGATGAGTATCCGAGCACAGAGGAGGTCTCGAATTGGGTTCTCTCACGTATACACGAGGTTAGTCAATTTTGGAGGGTTTCTTTTGAGGGTCATGAGAATGAGGCAATGAAATTGTTTATTGCAATCGAGGAGTCATAGAAGGAGGGTGCTCCTATTGGGCAAGAGGTGGACCCTGCGAAGCAGAATGGGCGGAGTGCCCGAGAATTACGAAAACTGGAGTGTTCCATAAATTATGACCAACGTAAGGGTGAGGATGGACAGGGTGTAAGGAAGGGTCATGGAAATCAGCTGTTGTTGCAATGCAGTTAAAATTTCTGACTTGGAATGTGCGTGTGTTAAATGATAAGAGGAAAAGGGTGTTGGTAAAATCTGTGTTAAAAAATACAAGGGCAGACATGGTGTGTCTCCAGGAGACCAAGTTAGGGTGTGTGTGGGAGGGGGAGTTAGTTTGGGAGCTGTGGGGTGGTCGGTATGTGACTTGGACTTATTTACCTGCTCTGGGAGTGGCAGTGGGAGTTCTTCTTTGTTAGGATGAGAGGGTGGTTGAAATTGAGGAGGAAGAGTTGGGCGCTTTTTCGGTATCCTGTCTATTTCGGTGTATTGTGGATAGTTTTCGCTGGGCCTTTACAGGGGTATATGGGCCAGTTCATGGAAGGGAGTAGCCTAGTTTCTGGGATAAGATACAGTGTATTGCTTTTCGATGGGGGGTTCCTTGGTGTGTAGGCGGAGACTTTAATGTGGTTAGGAATGTGGAGGAGAAGATGGGAGCAAGTTCGGTGGTGGCTTCTATGCGGGTTTTCTCTTCATTCATTGATGACCTAGAGTTGGTGGATTTGCCACTGCAGGGGGGCGGCTATACCTGGTCTGGGGGCAGTGCGATGTCTCGACTTGACAGATTTTTGGTGATAGGGGAGTAGGAGGTGCATTTCTCACAAGTGGCTTAACTTCGGTTGCAATGTCCAATTTCAGATCATTGGCCAGTCTTATTGGATAGTGGGAGAATCAGGAGTGGTCCCACGCCATTTCGATTTGAGAATATGTGGCTGTTGTCGGAGGGTTTCAAGGATCTGGTGTAGGGTTGGTGGGACATTTATAGTGTGTCTAGCTTGCCGAGTTGTCGCCTAGTGCAGAAACTGAAACTTCTTAAGTCTAATTTGAAGCAGTGGAATAGGGAGGTGTTTTGGCGCCTAGAGGTTTAGAAGGCTAATGTGTTAGCTGTATTGTAGGAATTGGATCATATAGAGACTGTAGGGGGCTTGTCTGTGACGAATTTAGTTCATCGAGATGGGGTTCGAAAGGAGTTTGGTCAAATTGCACGTATGGAGGAGATTAGCTTTCGATAAAAGTCTAGATGTTTGTGGCTGAAAGACGGGGATTGAATTACCAAATTCTTCCATCGTATGGCTAATGCCCATCGTAGGGTAAATCATATTGATAGATTGTGAGTAAATGGTACGGAGTTGTCTTCTTCAGAGGAGATTAAGGCCGGGATTGTGGGATTCTATGACCATCTATTTTGGGACGAGGGGGAGGTGTGGAGGCCAAGTCTGGACGGAGTTGTGTTCGATGTTATTTTAGAGGCGAATAGTTGCATGCTTGAACGGGCTTTTTACAGAAGATGAGGTGTTTGCATCTTTACGGAGTATGCCTGGTGATAAGGCTCCGGGTCCAGATAGTTTTTTGATAGCATTTTTTCAGCAATGTTGGGGGGTGGTGAAGGCAGATGTGATGGCCATGTTTGAGCAGTTTTATCAAATCGGAGAGTTTGAGCGTAGTCTCAATGCCACGTTTATTGCTTTGCTCCCCAAGAAGGGCAGGGCGGAGGATATTTGGGATTATCACCCTATCAGTCTTTTGGGTAGTGTATACAAATTATTGGCAAAAGTGTTGGCCAATCGGTTGCGTAGTGTGTTGGAAGGGGTGGTTTTCGAGTCTCAAAATGCTTTTGTGGGTGGGGGGCAAATTCTAGACGCGGTCTCAGTGGCGAATGAGTGTGTAGATTCCAGGATTCGCTAAGAACAAGAGGAGCTTATTTGCGAACTTGATATCGAAAAGGCATGTGATAATATCAATTGGAAATTTTTATTGTATATGTTAGGCAGATTAGGTTTTGGGGAGAGATGGCGGAGGTGGATTAAATTCTGTATATCTATGGTGCGGATGTCGGTTCTTGTTAATGGGTCTCCAGCGGGATTCTTTCCTACTTATAGAGGTTTACGACAAGGAGATCCTTTACCTCATTTACTGTTCATTTTGGTGATGGAGACGTTGGGGCATTTGTTATCTAGAGCGGTACAAGGTGGTTTGTTGTATGGGTTTGAGGTAGGGGTGGCTCCAGTAGTTTTGACGGTTTCATATTTGTTTTATGCGGATGATGCGCTTATTTTTTGCGATGCAGATATTACTCAAATTGGACATTTGAGATGTGTGTTGTTGTGTTTTGAGGCAGTGTCGGGCCTTCAGGTGAATCTGGCAAAGTCGGAGCTGATTCCAGTGGGAGAGGTGGCACGAATTTCGATATTGACAGCTATTCTGGGGTGTAGGGTGGCATCTTTCCCAGTTTCATATCTGGGTTTACCTCTAGGGGCATCATTCAAGGCGACGAGGGTGTGGGATGGAGTGGTGGCCCGTGTTCAGCAACGACTGGCAGGCTGGAAAAGGCAGTATTTATCAAAAGGTGGCAGACTTACATTGATTAAGAGTGTCCTGTCCAACATTCCGACTTACTTTATGTCCGTTCATGTGATTTTGGTGTCTGTAGCAAAGCGAATTGAGTGGTTACAGAGGGATTTCTTCTGGGAAAATGGAGGGAGAGGGATCTTATCATTTAGTGGCTTAGGATTGGATTTGTAGTCCCAAGGTTCATGGGGGTTTGGGGGTTCGGAGGTTGGTCCTATTTAATGTGGCTTTGTTGGGCAAGTGGTGGTGGCGTCTTGTGGAGGAGAGGGACTGCCTTTGAAGGAGGGTGGTGGTTGTGAAGTTTGGTATGGGGCGGGAAGGGTGGTGTTCAGATAGAGTAGGGCAATCGCATGGCCGTGGTCTTTGGAAAGGGATTTGGTTAGGATGGGAGGAGTTTTGGAAGAGGGTTCTGCTCCAGGTAGGGGTGGGGGATAGAATTCGATTTTGGTGGGATAGGTGGTGTGGTGACGTTCCATTGGAAGTGCGGTTCCCTTTGATTTATGGTCTTGCTATTGACAGAGAGGTCACGGTGGGTGATGTAAAGTGTGGCCATAGAGATTCAATTGTTTGGAATGTGCACTTGCGCCGTGCTATTCAGGATTGGGAGCAGGATCAGTTGATAGCGCTATTGGGTTTTTTATATCTGTTGCGAGTTTGGAGGGCTGGGCAGGATTCTTTGGTTTGGAATTGTCCTGGGGCTAAGGGGAAGTTTTATGTGTCCTCGTATCATGCAGAGCTAGCTCATGCAGAGGCTGTTGTTTTTTCGCGGAAAATGTGTCTGGGTGTCAAGTTCGCCATCCAAGGTGGTCTTTTTTGTGTGGACGGCCATGTTGGGGCGTATCTTGACATTGGATAATCTAATTCGCCGTGGCCATACATTGGTTAATTGGTGCTGCATATGTTGTGGTGATGCAGAGTCGGTGGCGCATTTGCTAGTTCATTGTCCAGTTACTCATCGTCTTTGGATGCTTGTGGTCGCGACTTTTGGTTTGGCCTGGGTGCAGCCGGTTTCAGTTACAGCAGTTTTGCAAAGTTGGATGGGGGGTCGTATTGGTAGGCAGCGTTGGAAAGCGTGGTTGCTTGCTTCTCATTGTCTTGTCTGGTTAGTTTGGTTGGAACGTAATAGGCGTGTTTTCTAGGGGGTGTCTCATTCGGTTCCTTGGTTGGAACGCCGATTGCTCATGGTTTTGCATAGTTGGCTGACCTGTTCGGTTGATCTTGATGTTTTGGCATTTGTAGATTTTGTGGAGGATTTGACTTGTTGATATGTTAAGCCTTTGTGGCTTCTAGTTTGTATTCTTTGCATCATCTTGATACTTTTCTAACAAAGTTTGTTATTTATCCAAAAAAAAATTACTATGAAAAATATGGAGCATTGTCACAAGAGCAGAGAAGCTATTGGTTGAACAATTAAAAAGAAAACTAGTTATATTTAGATTATGAATTTTGGTAGGAATTTGGCAAAGGAAAGAGAAAAAGTAACGAGAAATATGAATATAATATAAGTTAAATATTCCACCATTTCCGCCTTCCTTTCGCTATCGAAATTTCTATCTTGATTATCCAAACACAACGCAAATATAAAATATAAAATATAAAAAATAAAAAATTGAATATAATTGAATAAGTAAAACTCACATAGAATATTGACAAGCAAGTCTTACCTTAATTTAGTTTTTTTTGGACTCCACTCATGCCATCAAAATTTTTAAAGTTCCAAGTAAACCTATTTTATTGCCAAAAAAAATAAAAAAGGAGGATGATATAAAAGCATTTACTCTTGTTTCCAAGCATTAGAAACATTTTGAAGGACAAATTACACCGATGGTCCTATATTATATCTCATGTCATTGGCCTTTACACTTTTAATTGACTCAATTTTGATCTTTAATTTTAAATTTTGTATTAATTTAGTCTAATTGATAATTCTATTAATGTTTTTCCAAAAAATTAACATTGAGTTGATTGATGTTAACTCACTCAATTGAATAAATTTATAATTTTGCCATTTAAAATACAACACATATCACTTATCTATGTATTTATCATAAAAAAATGTTAAAAGTTGTAATCAATTAGATCAAATTAAGACAAATTCATAAATTCATAATAAAAACCAAATCAATTGAAATTATTGAGACCAAAGTAGAGGGACTACCACCGTAATTTGCCCTGTCTAGAAATAAAACAACAACAAATCCAAAACAGTGAAACCAAGATCTTAAAAAAATGACCTGAAGACTGAGGAGGCATGGTTCTCACTCCTTTTGGGTCCAACCCAATAAAATAATGAAACAGGGGTGCTGAAGAATGGTTCTGATGATACAGTTCGTGATGGCAGAACGGGTCGGACTGATCCACGCTCCTTTAGCCTATGTCCGAATGACCAAGCCCACCTGAAGACCTGCACAAGAGTTCAACGGGGAACGGGGAGTCCCCCAGCGAACCCTCAGACGAGCAAATTAGAGAGAGAAGTGGAGTGTAGAGATGGAATACAGATAAAAAGGCTTAACCTTCTACATGTCTTCGACGTCTGCTTATATCCTTTGGTAATCATTATGTTGTCTCTCCCGACCTGTCACCTTGACCGAAAGTCTATGTTGTAGCTTATCTTGTTCAGGGTGAGGGCGTGTTGTCCCGACAGAGAGGGGATATCGCAATAAATGCTATAAGGGGGCCTCATTAATGGCGATGTGCAGTGGCAATAACTTTGCAGATCTTTGTCTGCTGATATGGCTTGCCCTTTTCTTGCCATGTGTCTTGATGTCATTGGTTCTAATTGCTACATGGGGCTTCGACAGTGCTGGGCTTCAGCATTTGAGATATGTGTTGGGCCCTAAATGGTGGGCTCTAGTCTTTATGGGCTTAGCCATGTCAGTAGTCCCCCATTCCCGAGTGCAGCTTTAGTCCAATGAAGGGAATATTGAAGAGAATAAGGGCTGTGAAAGACCGGCAGGGTGAAGGCCGACTGAGCGGGGTGACCGACCGTGAGGAGGGCCGACCGCGAAGGGTGGCCGAGTGGGGGGATCGACCATGCGGAAGGCCGACCGTGAAGGGTGGCCGAGTGGAGGGGCTGACCATGCAGAAGGTCGACCGCGAAGGGTGGCCGAGGGGTGTGGCGCGGGGCTCGAGAGGTGGTGAGGCACGTGCTGAAGTGAAGTGGAATAGACAGGGAAGGGAAAAGGGGCAGTGGATCGTGGCCGTACACGTGGCAGAATCTTGTAGTAGGGGAGGTTAGGCGTTGGGCGATAGGCGAAACGATAGGTCATTATAGGGTGTTGAAAAGACAGTTGTGGCGGAATTTTGAAAATTTTCAAACTGGCGAGAATTAATTGTGACCCTTGGAATACAGGCAAGCCGTGGGCCTTTGGTATTATCCGCTTTACCTACCTTTTTGTAAAAAATCAAAACATTCCAAGTGTAAACTCCTTCGTTGCTAGCGATACACCTCTGCAACACTTTTTGAATTTTCTTGCGCCCGCATCCGAAGCCATTCGTAGACACACGACAGAAATGGCCCAGGAAGAAGCTAGAACTGCCAGGGTTGATCCACTAGGGAACGACGATGCGGTGGAGTTGGCGGAGCAGTACAGGACGGAGAGGCAAGTGAAGAGAGTAGGGGAACCAGCGGGACCACCGCGTTCGTTGACAATGATGGCAGCTCTGAAGCCAATCAACCAGGCTGAGCCAGATCACTGGCATACGAAGGCCGACAAGTCGATCGTTACTGCAGGGGAGTTGGAGGGTATGCACAAAAAATACCAGGTTCCCGCAGAAATAGAATTGATGCTACCAACACCAACAGAGAGGCCGTCCGACACCCGACCGGGAGAGTTTGCCCTCTACGAGGAGGCGTTGAAGGGTGGGTTGAGGTTGCCACTTCCGCAGGTAGTAGTGGATGTCTTAAACCAACTGGAAGTGACGCCAGGCCAACTAATGCCCAACGCGTAGAAGATTGTACTGGCCTGAGCAAGTGCGTGGACGAGGGAGAACGAGGGGGCGGCTATGACAGTGGACAAGTTTTTTGCCTACTACAATGCCTCAGGCCAGCAAGAAACTTGGGTTACTTTGCTGGCGGCGGTAGGAAGGGATCTGGTGGCAGGGTTGCTGTCATCAATTAAGGGATGGAGGCCGCGGTGGTTCTACGTGTCCACGAACGGGGGAGTGGGAGTGCGCACGGTGTGGAGAGTGCCCACCAAGTCTGTGGAGCCAAAACTGGGGGCCGCAGCGGAGGATAGGGTGAAAAAGGTGAAGTCATGGAGGGAGAAGGAGGGAGTCAAATGGGACGATCTCGTCCAGTCGTCCGCTTTGTTCACCGCAGGACTAGGCCCTCAGCCGATCAGTGGAGATCTGGCACCGGCAGAACTAGAGGCGAGAAGGAAGGCACAAGAGGCGGAGGATCGGACCATTTTTACCAAAGCCTAAAAGTTTAAAGAAACGCAGTTAGGCCCGCCACCAAAATCGGTCGAGAGGGAAAGAATCCGACCACGCCCCAAGCCGCTGGGGGGAAAAGACTTGGGTAGTTTTGAGCCGCGACCACCGCCAGTTGATCCGGTGAAGGAGAGGGCAAACGAGAAGGGGGAGGCTCTGAAGAAGAAGAAAAAGAGGAGGGTTGCCCTTGAGGGGGCCTCAGATGCGCCTGTATCGAAGAGGGTGAGGGTTGGCGAGAAGGTTACCCCCATGGCGGAGGAGGCAGGAGAGGAGGGAGTACGGGCGACCCCAGAAAGGGTGGTTACCCCAAAAATGCAAGGGGACGAAGGTCAGGGGGGCCAGGAGGAAGAAGAGCACCTGAGTGCCAGGCCCAAGGTGCCAGTGGAGCGTGGGTCAGCTGACCCTGAGGAAGTGATGAAGCAGCAGCCTAAGGGGGGCCCTGCGCCCCAAAAAGGGGGGGTCAGAGTGAAGTATGCGATCTACCATGCTCCTGCAGTGTCTGGGCGACTGGAGGGAGAAGAAAGCCCAGCCAGGACAGCTGCAGATCTTCTTTTGGGGGTAGTAGACGAGGCAGCCGTGCGCTCCGTGACTAAGTTCAATGAGGCTGAGCTGCTAAGGGGGTTGTGCTTTGCTCAAATGGAGGCGACCACCTTAGCAAGGGCTCTACTGAGGAAGGCGGCGACGGCAAAGGGTGAAGTGGAACTGTTGAAGGTGAAGTTGGAGGAGGCGAAGGCCCAACTTAA